AGGACAGTAAAAGACAGTAGAGGACAGTAAAACACAGTAGAGGACAGTAAAAGACAGTAGAGGACAGTAAAACACAGTAGAGGACAGTAAAAGACAGTAAAGGACAGTAAAAGACAGTAGAGGACAGTAAAAGACAGTAGAGGACAGTAAAAGACAGTAAAGGACAATAAAAGACAGTAGAGGACAGTAAAAGACAGTAGAGGACAGTAAAAGCCAGCAGAGGACAGTAAAAGCCAGCAGAGGACAGTAGGGTTTGTTGTTTAGCTGCGCTTTATAAAGTATGTAGCTGATAAATGTGACTCCAGCTGCAATTTGTTTGTTTGTTTTCCTCCACTGAAGATGACTCTGGAGTCATAATGAGGTCAGTTCACTCACTGACCTCATTAACAGGAGCTTATTAATGAGGTCAGCTCATTAACAGGAGCCTGTGCTGKAATGTGATTGGTTATCAGCTGATTGAAGCTTCAACACATTTTCATCTGAGTTCTTACACAGGTTTAATCTATCTGAGAGGTTCTGCTCTGCTTCTTTTTAATTGTCAATAAACCCAGTGAGTAACACATTCTCACTCCCAACTCGTCAACATGTTGACGCTTGGTCAGGGGCCATCTGCGTCCAGTTTTGACACAATGGGTACCACCAGCGTGTCAGTCCTTTCCGCCCACAGCTTTTCCGGGTCGCGTCACTTAGGGGTGTTTGGGTTGGGGGGTCTAAGGTTAAAATGAGGGATCAGGCTTAATGGTTAGTTTTAGGTACTGAGGTCAGGGATAGGCTGTATATGGCTAATATAGGTTAAAGTCATGGTCTGGGATGGTTAGTTTTACGCATTTCCTACTCATTAAAAAAATATGACAACGCGCTCGTCCTCCTCCGCCTCATCTCGTAAAGAACTGATGCGTGGGGGGTATCCGACGCGTCCGAAGCTGGACGCAGACGGCTACCTGACCAAGTGTCAATATGTTGATGAGTTGGGAGTGAGAATGGGTTGCAGTGAGTTGTGTGTTTTATTTTCCCTGAACTGTGACTGTCAGGATGCTGTTAGTCCAGTTTGTGACCCACCTGCTTTGGTTGAGGTCAGAGGTTCTGATGCTTTTGTCAGATCCCTCAGGTGAGCTATGCATCCACGGCTCCAGAGCTCAGTGACAACAATCGATACGACTTCTTCTCTCGGGTGGTTCCTCCGGACTCCTACCAGGCTCAGGCCATGTTGGATATTGTCAAAGCTCTGGGCTGGAACTACGTCTCCACATTGGCATCTGAAGGAAACTATGGTGAGAGCGGTGTGGAGGCATTCATGCAAATCTCCAGAGAGGCTGGTAGGCTCACCTGTCCATCACTTCCCATCGCCTCCTATTTACTGCTCCTCACCTGTTCTTCTCCTGTCTGGCTCTTTCTCAGGTGGGGTGTGTATTGCTCAGTCAGTGAAGATTCCTCGTGAGCCCACAGCTGGAGAGTTTGATAAGATTATTAAACGTCTCATGGAGACAAGTAATGCCAGAGGGGTGATCATCTTTGCCAATGAGGACGACATCAAGTAAATAAACTATCTTATGTCTTCTTGAAAACAACAGAAACTCACCACGGTTACTTGCTTCTGTCAGTCCAGTATTTGTGTTTGATTGGACATGTGGTCACATGACTGCCATTTGACTCCTCCCATTTCTCTCTGTAGGCGTGTTCTTGAAGCAGCAAGGCGTGCTAACCTGACTGGACACTTCCTGTTTGTAGGCTCAGACAGCTGGGGAGCAAAGAGCTCACCGATTGCAGAGCTGGAAGATGTTGCAGAGGGTGCTGTCACCATCCTGCCAAAACGAGCTTCAATTGATGGTAAAAGCTGACAAACATGATTGCAGAGCTTTACCTGTCCCTGTGTCAGGTGTTCACACACCACATGTCTGTTGGACAGGCTTCGATCAGTACTTCATGTCACGCTCCCTGGAAAACAATCGCAGAAACATCTGGTTTGCTGAGTTCTGGGAAGATGACTTCAAGTGCAAACTAACACGTCCTGGAGTCAAACTGAGTCCAGACAAGAAGAAATGTACAGGTACATGTTGTCCTGAGAGGTGTGGCAACATTTCATTCAATCATCTAGCATTATGCTCCATTTTGTTCTTGTCTACAGGGGATGAACGGATTGGTCAGGATTCATCCTATGAGCAGGAGGGGAAGGTCCAGTTTGTAATTGATGCAGTCTATGCAGTTGCTCATGCTCTGCACAACATGCACCAGAACCTTTGTCCAAGCAGCCATGGTGTTTGTAGCAACATGGACCCTGTGGAGGGACGACTGCTGCTTGATTACATCAGAACTGTCAACTTCAATGGTAAGAAAACCTGAAGCTGGAGCTCTTCCTGCACTCAGACCTGAAGGAAATCCTTAGCACTAACAACTGGTTTATTTGGGAAGAAGCTGGAAACCTCTCTAAAGAGCTACTTGTGTCAGTATGGAAAGGCCCATATGTTGAGCTTTTCCACTGATGCACCTCAAACTGTTCAGAATTTACTGTTTTAAAAAAGAAATGGATGTGTTATGATGACAGACTGACAGCTGGGATTATGCTGATGCAGCATCTGGGAGTAGAGTTCAGGTGTATCTCTGTCCTCTGATAGTGCTGAGACCATCAGGTGACTTGTTTAGTGATGTGAACTCAAATTCAGACCCAACTGATTCTGTAGGCCTGTCCTCAGCTCTGGTCTCAGACTCTTAATGGACATGCAGGTTTCTGAGAATACTTTGTTTTCTGAATGAAGGTTATACAGACCATCAGGTGAGATTTTAAACAGTCTGATGTCTCATTTCTGGACTGCAGCACTGGTTTAGACCTGAAGGCATGACTCGTTAGACATGAAATCCAATCAAGTGGTTCTTTCAGATCCCACATTAAAACCACATTTTGAAAAAATGCCCAGCAGCAGGGTTGGAAAAGTCTTTAGGTAAAAACCACACCAACTGTTTTTGAGTTTATTAATATATAAACTGAATAACAGCGGTCCAAGTATGGACCCTTGTGGGATTCTGGTAGATGAGTTCCTGGATAACCCTAACCCCATGTCTGGTGGAACCTGAGACTGATAGAGCATGCTACAGGTGGTGGCAGGACCTGGTGGGGCTTGAATCTGTGCCTGGTAGTGTTTGAGTCCAGTGGAACTTAAGCTGGGCTCAGTGGCCAGTAGTGGAGCCTGGGTTGGTCCTGGTGGCTGGTGATGGAGCTTGTGATGTGCTACTTGACACCCAATTATGTCCTAAAGTCCAAGTCTCCACAATCGTGACTCTTTGAAAATGCAGAACCAGTATGAGTCAACAGTAGGCAGAAGAAAAAAATGTTTTTCCTACAAGCAGCACCAGATTATGCAAAAGAGACCTCCAAATGTCCAAACCATCTCAGCCCCTTTGCAGTTTTTATTGATTGGTTTGACGCAGCCGTCAACTCTAAATCCACATTTTCAAAACAGTTAACGCAGAGGCCTAAACAGTGACACAGTGGTCACAATGACGCATTTTGTTTGCAAAAGGCAACAACTGTGTCAAAACATTTAAAATATGGAACRAAAGCAAACTTTGCCTTCAAACAACTCAACTTTAACGCAATGTATGAGCACCTCCAAACAGTACACAATGGCAACAAAATACAAAATACAGCACTCTTGTGAATCAGTGCACCATTGCTTGTCATTGTAGCCTTTGACTGTACGTTGCTTCCATGCCAGTGCCATTTGTAGTCACATTTGCCCTCTTGCAAAAATGCATTCAGAAGCAGATATGCTTTGATGCAAATTTTATTGATTACATTCTTTTTTTCAGACTGTGCCTGACAAATGAAATATTCCAACAGAGAATACATGGAAATAAAAATAAATCTTTTGCTGTGTAAGAAATTAGGTAAATAAAAAACATTCTTTTACAGTAAAGAACAAAAATCTATAGTAGGCCTATACTATGAGTATGAGAACAACACAGGCCTGCAGAATTATTGCAAATTGAAAAATTCTGTGAAGAAATGTCAAACAGGTGCTTTCAGTGATTTCATACTGATCAGGGAGTTTCTAAGAGCTTGGAGCAGATGGTTTCTGTTCTGTAACCACAGCTAAAACAGAATTTGGACTTCTTGACTTCAATTAAATTCAATTCAATTTATTTATATAGCGCCAAGTCACAACAAACGTTGTCTCAGGGCACTGTACATGAAAAAAGAACAATCTAAAGAAGAAGCCAGCAGATCTCACCTTGAATGACATCTTATCTGTGTTAACTGTTTTGTAAAAGGGTGTGAAAACTGTGTCAATCCTATGAAAATGGGTTAACACATTGTAAGAGGTGTCTTCTGCTCTGCTGAGATGGTGATGACGAAGACTGAGAGGTTCCCAGTTTCTTCAAACAGGTCAAAGCAATCAATTAAAACTGTAACTTCTGGAGATTCTAGGCCAACATCCTGACACAAGATGTTTGCTGACCTATCTGTCCCTGTCTAACAGGAAGTGCAGGGACGAGTGTTCTATTCAATGAAAATGGAGATGCTCCAGGACGCTACGACATCTTTCAGTTTCAGATGACCAATCACAGCCATCCTGGTTACCATGTGATTGGCCAGTGGACCAATAACTTGAGACTCAATGTAAGATACTGACGGCAGAAAAACATTAAAGTCCATTTGGTGAATGTTACCTTCTTGTGTCTCTTTCTGCAGCTGGAGGAGATGCAGTGGTCCGGAGGAGACAGATCCGTTCCTGAGTCAGTCTGTAGCTTCCCCTGTAAATCAGGCGAGAGGAAAAAGATGGTGAAAGGAGTTCCCTGTTGTTGGCACTGTGAGGTAATGCTTCGAGTCCAAAATAACAGATTTAAATTTATGTAGCAGCCTGTCACTTTTCTAAAGTCTTCTAACAACAATTTAAACCAATTTAGTTCAACTTCAGCTAAATAAGACATTTTACCCAGAATAAAAAACCTACAGTAAATGAACAAAATGAAACTGAACTAAACCAAACAAACAAACAAAAAACTAGAAGCTCTCAGAGGGCACACCTCTGCCAAGACCCTAAGTTATACAGTGATTGGTGGAACAAAATTCTGGAATGTACTGATTGGCTGTCACAGTATGACATCATTAGTAAAAAGCAGCCCCTCTGTACTGTTGTTGTTTGTGGCAGATCACAGTGAGCTTGGACAGATGTCTGATCGAAACTCAAGTTTAATTGTTTGTTTTTTGTGAAAACCCAACATGCCCTGAAAATTTCTTCATAACTTTTTGAAAAATCTTGTGCACATACAGATGGACAGACAGACAATACTACTCTTTGGTGGAGGTATTACACTGAACTAACTAAGCTAACTAGATTTAATAGGCAAGAATTCATTTATGATTTATTCATTTCTGTCTTTTAAATCTAGTTTTAGTAAAGCAGGTGCTGTACTAACCCTAATGCTGAGATACAGTCAGGATAGACCTCCCCTGACTGCCCCTGACCAGAGCTGAGAAAGATGGAGGGAACCTGAGAGCTCAGCAGCATCTCCCATCAGCTGGAGGGCTCTGTTGAACAAATTCTTCATCTGATGACTAAAAGTTACAAATAATCCTCACTAACTTTTAACTGTCTAGATGTTCTACTACTGGAAACATAGACCCTCCAGCGTGTCCTGGGTCTTCCTCTGGGTCTCCTCCCAGTGGGACGTGTCCAGAACACCTCACCAGGGAGGAGTCCAGGAGGCATCCTAACCAGATGAACCACCTCACCTGGCACCTCTGGACGTGGAGGAGCAGCGGCTCTACTCTGAGTCCCTCCTGGATGACTGAGCTTCTCAGCCTATCTCTAAGGGAGAGCCCAGACACCCTGCAGAGGAAACTCATTTCAGCTGCTTGTATCTGTGATCTCCTTCTTTCAGTCACTACCCAAAGCTCCTGACCATAGATGAGGGTAGGAACGTAGACCCACTGGTAAACTGAGAGCTTCACCTTCTGGATCAGCTCTCTCTTCACCACGACAGACCGGTACAACACCCACATCACTGCAGATGCAGCACCAATCCACCTATCGATCTCCCACCCCATTCTTCCCTCTTTTGTGAACAAGACCCCGAGATACTTAAACTCCTCCACWTGGAGCAGGACCTCCTCCCCGACCCAGAGAAGGCAACCTACCCTTTTTGGCTCAAGACCATGGTCTGGGATTTGGAGGCACTGATCCTCATCCCGGCCGCTTCACACTCAGCTGTGAACTGCTCCAGTGAGAGCTGGAGATCAGGATCTGATGAAGCCAATAGGACCACATCATCCACAAAAGCAGAGATGTGATCCTAAGGTCACCAAAAAGGATCCTCTCAACACCTTGGCTGCTCCTAGAAATTCTGTCCATAAAAGTTATGAACAGAATCTGTGACAAAGGACAGCCTTGGTGGAGTCCAACTCTCACCTGAAACATGTCCGACTTACTACCAGCAATATAGACCAAGCTCTGGCGCCGGTCATACAGGGACCTAACAGCCAGTGTCAATGGGCCTGGTACAACACACTCCCAGAGTATCCCCACAGGAGTCCCCAAGGGACATGGTCAAACGCCTTCTCCATGTCCACAAAGCATATGTAGACTGGTTGAACTGCCATGCACCCTCCAGGACCCTGCTGAGGGTGTAGAGCTGGTCCACTATTCCATGACCAGGATCAAAACCACACTACTCTTCCTGAATGTGAGATTCGACTAACCGACGGACCCTCCATTCCAGGACCCCTGAATAAACCTTACCAGGGAGGCTCAGAAGTGTRATCCCCCTGTAGTTTGAACACACTCTGCGATCCCCCTTTTTAAATAGGGGGACCACCACCCCAGCCCCTAATGTCCACGCGATATTGTAGAGTCACACCAACCAACACAACCCCACAACATCCAGAGCCTTAAGGAWCTCCGGGTGAATCTCATCCACCCCCGGCGCCCTACCACGGAGAAGCTTTTTAACCACCTCAGTGACCTCGTCACCTGAGATTGGAGAGTCCAACCCAGGGTCCTCAGGCTCTGCTTCCTCATGGGAAGATGTGTCGATGGGAATGAGGAGGTCTTCAAAGTATTCTGCCCACCGACCCACAATGTCCTGAGTTGGGGTCAGCAGTGCACCATCCCCACCATAAATAGTGTTGGTGGTGAACCACTTTCCCAGATGGTGGACCAGAGTCTCCTCGAAGCCATACGCAAGTCTTTTCCATGGCCTTACCGAACTCCTCCCATGCCTGAGTTTTTGCCTCAGCGACCACCCAAGCTGCAATTTGCTTGGACTGCCGATACCTATCGGCTACTTCCAGAGTCCCCCAGGCCAAAAGGACCTAAAAGGACTCCTTCTTCAGCCAGACAGCATCCCTCACCACTGGTGTCCACCAGCAGGTTCGAGGGTTGCCACCACAACAGGCACTGACAACCTTACGGCCACAGCTCAGGTAAGGGTAAGCCGCCTCGACAACGGAGGCACGGAACATGGCCCACTCAGGCTCAATGTCCCCCACCTCCCCCGGAACATGTTCAAAGTTCTCCCAGAGGTGTGAGTTGAAGCTCCACCTGAAGGTGACTGCCAGACGTTCTCAGCAGACCCTCACTATACATTTAGTTCTGCCAGGTCTGATCAGCATCCTCCCCCACCACCGGAGTCAACTCACCACCAGGTAGTGGTCAGTTGACAGCTCCGCCCCTCTCTTCACCCGAGTGTCCAAAACATGCAGCTGCAGATCAGATGAAATGACAACAAAGTTGATCATTGAACTGCGGCCTAGGGTGTCCTGGTACCAAGAGCACATATGGACACCCTTATGCTTGAACATGGTGTTCGTTATGGACAATCCATGATGAGCACAGAAGTCCAATAACAAAACACCGCTCAGGTTCAGATCGGGGGTGCCGTTCCTCCCAACCACACCTCTCCAGGTCTCACTGTCATTACCCACGTGAGCGTTGAAGTCCCCCAGGAGAACGAGGGAGTCCCCGTTAGGAGTGCTCTCCAGCACCCCCTCCAAGMACTCTAGAAAGGGTGGTAATCTGAACTGCTGTTAGGTTCATAGGCACAAACAACAGTCAGGACCCATCCCCCCACCCGTAGGCGGAGGGAGGCTACCCTCTCGTTCACCGGSGTGAACCCAAACTTACAGGCACCGAGATGGGGGACAATAAGTATGTCCACTCCTGCTCGGCGCCTCTCAGCATGGGCAACTCCAGAGTGGAAGAGTGTCCAACCTCTCTGGAGGAGACTGGTTCCAGAGCCAGAGTGGTGTGTCAAGGTGAGTCCAACTGTATCTAGTCTGAACCTCTCAACCTCACACACCAGCTCAGGCTCCTTCCCCACCAGAGAGGTGACATTCCACGTCCCTAGAGCCAGCTTCTGTAGCCGAGGATCAGACCGCCAAGGTCCCTGCCTTCGACCACTGCCTAACACACATTGCACCTGACCCCTATGGCCCCTCCCACAGGTGGTGAGCCCATGGGAAGGGGGACCCACGTCCCATCTTCGGGCTGTGCCCGACCGGGCTCCATGGGTGAAAGCCTGGCCACCAGGCGCTCGCCAACGTGCCCCACCTCCAGGCCTGGCTCCAGAGTGGGGCCCTGGTGACCTGCGTCCAGGCGAGGGAACACTGAATCCATTTAAGGCACTCATCATAGGGGGCCTTTGGACTGCACTTTGTTTGATCCCTCACCTAGGACCTGTTTGCCTTGGGTGATCCTACTGGGGGCACAAAGCCCCCAACAACATAGCTCCTAGGATCACTGGGACATTCAAACCTCTCCACCATGATAAGGTGGCAGCCTAGGGAGAGTAATTTCATTGTGCTCTGTACAATGACAATAAAGGTTTATTCAATTCAATTCAAATAAAACATGCACTTTAAACATAGGTAAAAGGAGCTGGAACCAGGAGGACAGCGAAACACCAAGACTAATGCTACGTTCAGACCAAATGCACTTTGAGCTTCCAAAACAAGCCCGACGTGCTGTTGGCTGCTTGTGCTCTTTCAGGTCAGACGCTTTCAGTGTGAACATAGACACGCATCACACACGTTGGGCAGAGTCTCTATTGTTTTCCTCTTCCAGTCTCTGTTTAATGACAGATGAAATAAAGAATGTGGCTTTGCTTTATTTACTGAGAGCAAGAGAACGTCAAACACACCAGATAATTAATCCACCAGATAATTCAGAGGCGGTCTGTTCGATGAGTTTCACTCCAGCAGCTGCGAGCTGACAAGGCTCGCTTCCAGAACCATATTTGTTCCAAGCTTGGTTTAACACCATAAGTTTAATCTGCCACTGACCAACATCTGTGCTGATATCTCCTGCCAGAACACCAACTACAGACGGTCAATTTCAGATAAAGAGCTCCTCTCCGTCTGTTTCAGTTTAGTGAGCAACATTCAGGAAATCGCCATGTGGAAAAATGCACCGCTACGTCACAGAGCAGTATCTCTGATTGGTTGACGCGGCATCGGGCAGCAAAAGTTCTGATTTTTTAACTCGAGCGTCGGCTGCTTTGGATGCTCCACATGCATGTCAAATGCTCAAACTGCACCTGCCGCTTCAAAACATGCTGTGCTAAACACGTTAGAGGTGCCACAAGACCCCTAGACACGCATCCACCATAGACTTTGCATGTAAACCTGATGCTCCTGATGCTCAAAACACGTTCAGTGTGAACCCAGCTTAAGAACTGTTAGTGTGAAGTTTGTTAAATGTCTCTAAGGTATCAGTCTGTTTGTACCACCTGTCTGCAGCTGTGTGATGGGTATCAGTACCAGCTGGATGAGTTTACCTGTCAGACCTGTCCATCAGACATGCGCCCTGCCCCTAACCGAACAGCCTGTCGTTCGACACCCATCATCAAGTTGGAGTGGAACTCCCCCTGGGCTTTAGTGCCTGCCACCCTTGCCATGTTTGGTATCCTAGCAACCAGTACTGTGGTGATAACCTTCATCCGCTTCAATGACACCCCCATCGTCAGAGCTTCAGGCAGAGAGCTTAGCTACGTCCTCCTGGCAGGTGAGCTCAGGCCAGTCTTCTGGTAAATGTAGACAGGCTAAGCTAACTTGCTGCTGCTCCCTCCACAGGTATCTTTCTGATCTATCTGATCACCTTTCTGATGATCGCAGAGCCAGGTGTAGTAGTGTGTGCATTCCGCCGCCTCCTGCTAGGCCTCGGCATGGCCATCACTTACTCTGCCATGCTAACCAAAACYAACCGCATCTACCGCATTTTTGAACAAGGCAAGAGGTCGGTGACCCCGCCCAAATTCATTAGTCCTACCTCCCAACTTCTCATCACCTTTGTTCTCATTTCTGTCCAGGTGAGTGTGCACATTTCACATGACCTGCAGGTACTCAGCGTCTCTTCAGGTTTTTGTGTTTGTCAGGTTCTCGGGGTGTTTGTGTGGTTTGCTGTGGTTCCTCCTCATACCATCATTGACTATGAGGAGCTCCGCCCCCCTAACCCGGACTTGGCTCGAGGAATCCTAAAGTGTGACATGTCTGACTTATCAATCATCTGCTGTCTGGCCTACAGCATCGTTCTCATGGTAACAAATCAATCAGTTATTGAACTTTCAGACAGAACAGCAGGTTCTGTGAAACATGAGTCAATCACACATCAGGTGTCATGCTGGAGGTCATGCCAGTGTTCACTTTTAGCAAAACTTCAGTGAAGTCCATCTTTAAGTGTAAACCTTAAAAATGTTCCAGTAAACACACTCTGTAGTTCCTTCCTTCCCTCCTTCCTTCCTTCCTTCCTTACTTCCTTCCTTCCTTCCTTCCTTCATTCCTTCCTTCCTTCCTTCCTTCCTTCCTTCCTTCCTTTCTTCCGTACACCGTACATGTTACCTAGAAACATGTACGGTGTATGTTCCCTCTGTTGCTAGGTAACATGTACGGTGTATGTTCCCTCTGTTGCTAGGTAACATGTACGGTGTATGTTCCCTCTGTTGCTAGGTAACATGTACGGTGTATGTTCCCTCTGTTGCTAGGTAACATGTACGGTGTATGCGGTGAAGAGCCGTGGNTATGATGATGAAGACAGGGTGATGAAGACAGGGTGATGAAGATATGATGATGAAGACAGGGTGATGAAGATATGATGATGAAGACAGGGTGATGAAGACAGGGTGATGAAGATATGATGATGAAGACAGGGTGATGAAGA